ACGGTATGACACTATCGCAAGTAGTGGCCCACACATACGAAATGGGTCACGAGTTCAACTTCGCAGCCGCCAGGATAATTGCCCTCGCTAGTAGCAAGACGGACCGAGAACTGATTGAAGCCTGGGCGTCGGATGACAACTAATTTAACCGATGCATCGAGCTGGCGCCCGCATATATTGCCCTGCGAGGGTATTTCCAGACTCACAGCACTGGTGGTTAGTTGGTCCTCTCCCCTCCTCCCCCCTCTCCTATGACGTTTGATTGACCCTTCCCCTATAAATGTTGCTTGATTCCGTTGACGATTTTATTTCTGTAAATATTCCCGCCCAACACGCCGATCTCGCCTACTTGCGCAGACTGGCATAGTCCACAGTGGCCAATCAACGGCCACATCAGACAATTATTGATTTTCTACACGTTCAAACTTCTGTTTTGTATACATGCCATAACTAGTCCCCCATTTGTTGCAGTTTCCTGTCTCTGACGATGGACTCGTGTAGGAGTTCGAAAGGTCAGACTAATAAAACTATGATTCCGGTGATCGACACGGCTTCTTCTCACGCAGGGGTCTTTGTGCTAGACCCAAGTGCACTGGGGTTAACGTTATGGTTATCGTTTGGTTCAATGTTGGAGTTAAAACACGGGGATATTTGCCCTTTCCTGGAATTTAACGGAAGGCCATGAATATTGCGCGGGACGAGGAACATTCCTATGTAGTGCCCTGTCGGGGGGAGGAGGAAGCAGTATAAGTCGTTCCGGACCTTGGATTTGGCAAACAAACGAAACTTAAAGATTTTTGGGCAAACTGTCTTGTAGAGCCGCCTACGGAATTGGTGGTTAAAAATTTAATTCATCATATCATCATAGTCACAATGTGACGGTCTGGCGGGTTTACGTTGTGAACTCCTGGGCAAAAGCGGAACTTAATTGTTCCTCTACTAGATCTTCTTCTCAAAACGAAGCAAATATGTTCATAATATTCCCGATTTCAACCGACAAAGCAAGGAGCCCGTGGTGCCGTAGTAGAGTATGGAACTCAATGACCAAAGGCCCCGTGTTCAAATCTCGGGGGTTCCAACCCTTGAGTTTGGGTATGATTGGCTGATGAAGGCTAACAAGCCAGAAATGGCCATTCCGGTCTCCCTTTGCTTTGTCGGTTCAATTTCATCATATCATCATAGTCACTATGTGACGGTCTGGCGGGTTTACGTTGTGAGCTCCTGGGCAAAAGCGGAACTTAATTGTTTCTCTACTAGATCGGTGGAACGCATATATTTATTAATTTTTAGTTAAGCAGTTCAGTTCAGGTCAGTTTTATTAGGGAAAAAATAGGTAAATACCTTTGAACTCCCTCTCTGTACATAGCTATGATGCTGTACATGTGTACATGTGTAAATGAATATTTAATTGTGTTGGAAGTCATCAAAAATATTAAATTAAAAAAACGTATATTTGTTTTAATGAGCTAAATGGAATCAACTCCATCAACATAAACTCATGTTTCTCAGGCAACCTTGTATTGGCGAAATTTAATGAAAAAAGGAAAATTTAACCTGATATTGGCGAAATATAACGAAAAACGGGCAAGTTGGCTTGCTGAAACTGTAGATGTAAGTTATTGTTATAAGTCAAAGGCCTGCCGATTTTTGCCTACATCTAACAGATACGGGTTTTTTTTTCACCAGGGTCTTGCTCACAACGGCGATCTGCTGGGCTTCTATGGTCAACTGTTGCGTAACCTGAATCCAGTCAACGTCGCGGGCTACATTGACGCCTACATCAATCGCACGGATCTGGGTCTGGTGCGTTGCCTGGATC